AAAAAGGGGATCATTTAAAAGAAAAAACCAAAAAGCTGAGCAACAAAGGCCCAGGAAACGGCAGGAGACGGTGGGGTCTAGAGCCTAGAGTCAAGGTCCCTGGGAGGTTCCAGAGGAATTGGGGAGAGTTTTGATTTTAGTTGGCAAAGCATTCAGGATTTAATCCTGCGGCAGCCACCAAAATTGCACCATCAGAACACACAGCCTTGAGTGGAGGAGTGTGTCAAAGACCAGGCTTGGTGTGTTGGGCTGAGGACATCGAGCAGGGAGCAGGAGGAGGTGACAGCCTGACCTCGTGAGAATCAGCCTCACGAGTGCAGAAGCAAGAGGTGAGGCTGTTCCATGATGCATGCCTCCAAAAAGCACACGCACACATGTGGACGGCAAGCCCCCAGGCCACACTGGGGACCCCTGGCTATGTGATGCAAGCTCCTCCAGCACGCTGCCCCACTTTACAAACAGGAAACCACACGATAGTCCCAGCTCACCTGGCAAACACGTGCTGACACACAGAGGTACAGCTTTGAAGGTACCTCCCCAGAAGCCCTTCAGAACCCTGTCCAGGCCAGGCAGGAAGGTGCTGCTGCCCTATGGCACAGACCACGACCTTCCAGCCCAGCATCCTCTGAGCAGCCTCTGGAGGCATCCTGTCTGAGGAGGCCTCTAGGACCAGCGGATTTGGGGAAGTCTACTGTGGCTTCCTAAGGACTCCGGTGTTTAGGAGGCCACCTCTGGCCAGTCCTGCACCTCCAGCCCATTTGTCAAGGCAAACACCGGTGGCACAGCCACCGGTGCATTTTTATCATGCACCCACCATGGGTTGGGCATGGTACCAGCTCAGGGTCACTGACAAAAAACAAAGCGCCCCTTCCCTTTGAGGAGGGGACTGGACAACCTGGTCAAATGGGGACCTGGCTGTAGAGACAACTGGAGTGGAGCAGGGGCAGGGCAGGCAGCGCACAACGGAGGCAGCTCCTTCATTAAGGACTCGCCGGATCTGGGAAAGACGGTTTCATGCGGAGGGAACACAGTGGCTCTGAGGGAGGGACAGCGGGACAGGATGGCCAGTGTGCGGCTCCAGCCCAGGCCTCCTCTGACCTGCAGATGTGGATGACTCATGCCTGTTTGGACCCTCTGGGCAGGAGGTTGCCTGTGTATCTGGCCCACACCAAAGGCATACAGAGGATCTTTAGGACCCCAAGGCAGCAGCAGCCGGGCTGCGAGTCTCAGGCTCCCAGGCTGGGCATGGCCAGTGACCACCACATCCTCGCAGGTCCCAGTCCCTCCGACACTGCCAAGCCAAGCAGCATGCGGTTGGGTCCCCACGCATGAGCGTCCTTCATGAGCAGAGTCCGTGACGCTGCATGGCAAAGACTCTAGGGCTAGGCCTGCGTCGCGACCTCTGCTGAGCATGGGCTCTCGGGCTGGGTGGCTGCTGACATGCCCCTCCCTCCCCACCCAGGTCAGAAGGTTGGGGGAACAGCAGCGGGCCCTGCCATGTGGGATGGGGACTGGTTCCTCCCCTCAGGGAGGCTGCTCTGCAGGGAACACGTGCCCCATTTTGGCTGCAGGTTAGTCTGTGTTCTGATGCCACCATCAGCCTTCTTCCTTCCTAGCCTCCCTTCCCTGAGGTCTGTGGGGGACCTTCTTGCTTCCCAGCCTTGCTCCCCTAAGGTCTGTGGGGGGCCTTCTTCCTTCCTAGCCTCACTCCCCTGAGGTCCGTGGGGGGCCTTCTTACTTTTCAGCCTCGCTCCCCTGAGGTCTGCCACTACCACACCTGCATATGCCTCTTGGCAGGCTTGGTGGGGTGTTAGACACACACGTGTCCTTGGGAGGGCCCCGCATGGCCCTGGCCCTCCATTTCTCCACCTGTGAGTGGGGCCAACATTGCACAGCACCAGCTAGAGCCCGAGCTGAAGGGGCCTGTGTGCAGGTGGATGGTGCAAACAGGTGGGTGCCCTAGTCAGCAGGCCCACACAACAGCAAGCTCAGCCAGGCAGAGTTGAGGCCTGGATTTGGCTTTGGGGGGACCTCAGTGTGGCCGTTCACACCCACCTTGCGGGAGAGGGGCTGTAGGACTTCCCGGAGTGGCTTCCGCCCTGGGATTAGCATCCCCTTCTCCCCACACCAGGGCTCTACAAGAGCCTCCTAGGCAGAGGGGACTCAGGAGTATCAGGGGCCACTCTGGGTCTCTGGGGGCCAGGCCGACAGCTCAGGCTCCAGAAATCTGGTAGCTCCAGCCTGGGCTGACTTATCACGTTAGGAAAGAAAGAACTCCAGCAGAAAAGAAAAACCTCCTCCGTGGAGGGGCATTCCACAAAAGGCGCCTGACTTTCTCTGCACTTTCCCTCATTAACATTCCGCAGACAGCACTAATGACTTAATAACACTAACCAGGCTGAATGGACAGCATCGACTCGGGCTGCCCCGCATTCAGCAAGCAGCAAGCGATGCTTCTTCAGGCCGTACACAGGCTGTGTCCCCAGCCCCCAGCCACGCCCACCTGCCCGTTAGCATGCGCAGAAAGCCCCTATTTGCATCAAGACAATGGTCCCAGCCCTGAATCCGGAGCCGTGGGGACACTGGGCATTGGTTGGCACAATCACCCTTTGTGCCGGCTCCAGCGGGCAGGCGGGAGCATGTCCCAGGGGCTCACTGAGATGTGGTCGGGTCCCAGGCAAATCCTGTTGGCATCTGAGGCCCAGTGGAGCGGGTGCCTGGACTTGGTCTTGCCTGGTGACTCCCACATGGGATGCCCAGAAAAGCCCCAGGGGGCATCACCCAGCCTCCTGCCAAGGAGGGGGATGCAGGTGAGCCATTCTAAATGAACTGGAGCTTGGTGGGCTGGGCTGGTGCCCACGAGCACAGAGTTGGGAATAGTGTGGGCTTGCCCCCCCCTCTGCCATAGGTAAGACATGACAGCATTCCTACAACTGCTAGCGAGCTGGAACATTCGGGTTGGTCCCAGGCACTAGGAAGATGTCTGAGAGGGGAGCGATAGATGCCAAAATGACCAAAGGACAAAGGGACGGCTGCTGAGGAGGGAATGGACCATGGACCATGTCACCTGGATGGTAGGGCAAGGTGTATGGACCCTTCTCTGCCAGGCATGGATCCCTAGCCTCTTGGCACAACTGAGGCAGAGCCTAGCTTATAACAGCTCAGAGTCCGAAACAGTGGGGTCCAGCCTCCAAGGGATTGGGCCACGTGAAGTCCTCCCTCCCACAGGGGATGGAAGGCAGGGAGAGCTGGGAGTGGTCCCTCCAGGGCAGGGTCAAGCCTCCTTAGAGGATATGCCTTGGAGTCATGGAAGAAGGGGGCTGAGACTTCGAGGGGCAGAAACTGGGTGGGCAGGAACTGAGTGGGGAGGAACCAACACAAGGCCCAAGTGCGTGATGTCTGTCCAGACAACAGCAAGTGGTCAAAGGGGAGTGGGCTTTGAATGCTGTGCTCCCCACCTCCTGGAAGATGAAGGCTCCCCCATGCTGGGAGGGCGAGGCCACTGTTTCACTTGGGGTCTAAACCGGTGCTGCTTTTTGGCACCATGATAACCAAATGTTTTCAAAACAGGCACCCCTTTCCTCCCGGGGGACAATGCCCTGGGATGGGGGCTTCTGGGAGCATTTGCCAGGGCCTCTGTGTGGGTGCTGCCACACAGCGTCCGGAAGCACCATATCAGAGCACAGTCGCCATCAGGGTTGCCTCGGAGGAAGCAGCCGGCAGGGCCACAGGTGGCACCTTTGCACGCGGTGCTGAGCGCCAACGCCCCGTCCTGGTGGCAGCAGAGCTATCTCAAATACCCCGCACGGCTCAGAGGAAAGAAACAGCCACTCTTTCATATTTGGTTTTAAGAGAGCTGCTAGAGAATTTGGCAGCTTGAGATCACAGTCTCCAGAAGTGGGCATTGAAGTCACAGGCAAGAGAAGTTTGAGCTTCCAGCGAGAAGTGGGGTCCCTTCCACGCCTCCTAACTCTCAAGGGCTGAGTCGCAACCCGGGGCCCCAACCCTCATCCGCGGACAGAGAGCATGAGGTCCCAGACCCTCACACCCCGTCGAGCTGCCCAGTGCGTGGTTCTGTCCTACGGATGTTTGTCTCAGAACTGGCCTCCAGATGACAGACACATCACGTGTGCCTCCTGCTGCAGCCGGGAGGCCAGGTCTGCCCGGAGCAGTGTGGGAAGCCGAGCGCTGACGCCCTGGCATCACCACGTGTTGTGTGTGTGCTCGGCAGAAGGGGGCGGGAGGCATGTGGCGGCCACAGCCGGGCACTGCTGTGTTCCCCGCTGTGTGGCTGGAGCACATGAGCCCAGCCTCCAGGGCCTCGCCCTCCATGTCTGTCACAGAGCCACACTTACAAGTTAGCGCAGGTAAAGCCCCTCACCCAGGATGGAGGACACGTAAACCCTAGACAGGTCTGCCCTCCAACTGTGAGTTCCCACAGAAGGTGGCTTCATCCCAGCCCCCGCTGCAGGGGTGAGAGGAGGGACGCAGGTCCCAGCCACACCACCACACACAGACTCGGGCCCCGGGCTGCATGAGAAGGGCCTGTGCTGTCACGTTCCCCACGTTCCCCAGGCCTGGTGCTGCTCCTTTAGGGCTCCATCCCCAGACCCCTCACCTCTGGCCTCTCTGCCAGTGGGCCCAGAGGTCACCCTAGCCACTTCCCAACCACAGCCGTGGGCTCCACTGGGAGAAAGCCAGGCAGCTGGAATCAAGAACACTGCTTTCCCTCGGCACAGCTGGGGGAGCTGACCCCTCCAGTCACCTGCCCAGGCTTCCTCTCGCAACAGAAGGTGTGGCCAGACCTGCCTTGGGAAGACTCTGAGGGGAAGGCAGCTGGAAGGTTTACGGAAGTTTCTAGCAGCTCCACCCTCTGTCTGTTCATGACTCGTCAGCAGAGACCCCAGCCCAAGGGAGAAACCCATTGGCTTGCTCGGGCTCCCAGAAGAGGCAGCGACCTGCCCGGCCCTGCACCCCACACCTGTTTGAGGGGTTCTCACCGGAACTGTCATAGCCATCGACAGAGAAGTGGTCCAGCCTCCGCTCTTCCGGGGGGTCACACGTGATCTGGGGGACTGTGAGCGTCTTCTCTCCGGGACTCACCCCATTGTCCTTGTCCGGCTTGAACTTTTTTTTCTTTATCTAAAAAACAGACAATAGATTAGCAGCTTGTGGCCATCGTCTGCCAGGCCCTGCGCTGGCCCCGGAGTGTCCATGCAGCCACCCTGAGCCCAGCCCCTTCCACATACACCCCAACAGGGACCGGGGGCCTGGGGCCAGCTCCAGCATCCTCACACAGAGACAGGGCAGGGCTGCTGGGGGCCACAAGGGGGGGCTTGGCCCAGTTGCTGCTCTGTGAGCTCATGGCCTCGTTGGAGCAGGCTGACAGGACACCAGGAAGCAGACAAATGCACAAGATGGTGCTGGGGGAGGTGGTAATGGGGGCTGTGACCAGTGGGGGTGAACACATATGGCGGACCAGACTAGGTGCTAGCAGGGCCTGAAGAGGGCACCTGAAGTGAGGGTGCAGGCTGTGTGGAAATCTGGGGAAAAGTTGGCACAGAGGCTCCGCTGGCAGCTGGAAACTGGGAAGGCCAGATCTCTCCACAGAGGGTGTGGGCCCAGGCCAGGACAGGGAACCATGCCCATGTCAGCCCCAACCCCTTTCACGATCCCAGCCACGTCATGAGATGACTGCCCAGCACCTGCCAAACTCCACGGTCCTGCAACCTCCAGACGCCCTTCGCTGCGCCCTGCCTCACCTCCCATCCCTGCTGCTTCCCTGCCACCGCCCACCTCCCGCCACCCCCTGCCCACTGCTCACCACCCACTGTGCCCCGTGTGGAAAGCCCAACCCTGAGGCCCTCTGAAGAGCCTTCTTTCCAGCCAGTCCTGATCCTGGAGCTCTCTCTCGGGACCTCTCATGCTCTGGAGTGACCAGTCTTACGTACCCCCAAGTCGGGGGACACTGGGATGGCAGGAACCTAGCATCAGGTATGTAGCCAGTGCCCCAATGAAGCTGACGCCCTGACACAGGCTGCACCAGGTCAGATGTCCAGCCTTGTGCAGTGATGAGAGCCCAGCCTTGTGCTGTGCCCCCACGGCCACCCCACCTGCTGGCAAGAAGGGCCTGCCCTGGTGGCCGGCGGGCTACTCACCACCACAGACTTCTTGGGTTTGGGGCTGGGTGACAACAGAGCATGGCTCCGGGGGGGCTTCCGGACATAGATCTTCCAGGTGGAGGAGTCGGGGTTCTCAGCAGCGTAGCACCTCCACGCAGTCTGAGGTCGGGCAGAGGAGAAGGCTGTCACTGGCTGAGCCACTCAGTGGGGACCCTTGTGGAAGCTACAGCTTCCACTCCCTGTTCCCCAGGCCTGGTCGCTCCCTTCTAGGTGGGAGGGTCTGGGACCTCAGAGTCACAGGCTTGACATGGTCCCAGCTCCCAGACCCTCTGCCCAGGCAGCCTGGCTTGGTCCCTTGCTGCGCCAGATAGCTCACCGCCTCATGGGCCAGCTGCTACCCAGGGCTGGGACACCACAAAGGTCTTCGCTCGTTACCCCTAGTCTATTGCACTTCCATCTGCCTGGTGTCTTCCTGCAGACACCCCAAGCCAGCCCTGAGCCAAGGGTGAGACTCACAAAGGTGGGCGGTTTGCACACCATCCCTGGGTGCCAGGGTGCACAGCGTGCATAGGAGACCAGTGCAGAAACGGGCAACCAGCGGCCACATAGTGAGGAAGGGCTGAGAAAGAGGGGTCGCCGGGACCCATGGGTGCTAAGCAGGGGGCAGGGAGAGGTAGAGTCTCTAGGGCTGGCAGGAGGCGAGGCCTCTCCCAGAGGCCTGTGAGTGCCACCTTGCAGTTGGGGGAGCCTCCAACAGCGCAGAGGTGCAGCTCTGAAGCCGGCATTTCAGAGAGACCCCACGGCAGTACCGCATGGGAAGGGTGGGAGGAGGGGACGCTATTGGCAGGGGGCGTGGGGGACAGCTGTGCAGCATCCAGGTGGGCAGGGATGGGGCAGGAGGGGCTCTTGGGACCTTGTATGAAGACACGTCCTGGTGGCTTTGTCATCACTGGCCACACGAGCCTGAGAGAGGGCTGAGTAGAGAATGTGCCCCTACACTGGTAGGCTCCTGGGTGACAGCTCCAGGTAGACACAGCAGCTGGCAAGGGGCACCTGCAGCCCTCACTCCCACCTGGCACCCAGGGACAGGCAGGCAGGGGCACACGCCCAGCCCTTCTGAGGCCCGAGCATTACACACACAGGCTGACACTCCACGTGGTCCGCCCACCCTGGCAGACCCCAGGACCCCTGCCCTGCTCCTGTGCGTGTCTATCACCTGTGGCCCCCTTCGTGTGCAGCTTCCAAGGAGCCCCCTTTCATAGGACCTGTAGTTCCCGGGGAGTAGGACAAGAATCAAATGTGGTCTCCTGGGGGTTAGGTGGCCAGCCTGCTCATGCCGGGACCAAGGCGGGTTTATGGGCCTGATTTATGATTTCCCCAGAAGGAGAAACTGCAGAGCCATAAAACCAGGCCTAGGGTGGGAGAACACAGCCCCACGCTGGCTGAGTCAGGAGCCTGGCAGGGCTGTGACCAGCCCCCGACAGCCTGGGCCTTGCCTGGGTCAGCCAGCTTAGAAGGACTGCAGGGGGACCCCAGCCAGCAGAGGCTGCCCAGGCCTTGAGGCTTCCTGGGGGACATCCAGCCTAGTGTGCCCAGAGGAGCTGACACTGTGCCCCCAGCCACTGCACTGGGCGGAGGCTGTATCTCCAGCCAGGCACCGTCATTCAACCTGGCAGTGCCCACCCTCAGGCCCCTCACCGCTGTTCCTCATGGCAGCCCTGGCCCTGCAGTGGCCAACAAGAGAGACTCACGGGATGTGATTTTCAAGGGGCTCCTGTGCAAAGTCTTTGCCTACGTTAAAAGGGCAGTCCCATTCTCTGGTGGGTTCTGGAGATCCCGGGGTGACAGAGCCAGGGCCCAGTGTCCCAGAGCTTGGTACCGGCTGCCTCCCCACCTGCCTCCAGAACCTTCCTTCCCCTGTTGCTCCAGGACTCTGCTTTCCTAGCCTGCTGGCCTTGTGAGCCCAGAGGGAGGCCCATGCCATCCCATCGCCACTCCTCACCCCCAGGTACCAGGGCCTCCTGAGCCCTGAGGGATGTAGGCCATCCAGATGGCACCAACTGCACATCTGGGTCCCACTCCCTTGGGGACAGTCACCTGGTCACCCCTTGCCAGACGCAGCCCTGAGGTGGTTGTGCCGCAGGAGGGAGAACGGGAGTGCAGGGAGCCTCAGAACCAACACGCTCACTCCTGGCATGGCCGTGTCTCCTGTCCAGGCCACAGGGCGTGACCCTCAATGGGAGTGGCTTTGGAGGAACACAGGCTCCAGTGCCCCCTGCTCGCCCCGTCGCCACAGAAGCCAAGGCTTCCACAAGCAGAGCATGCCCCACAGGCCAGCTGGGCTGCTGCAGGGGCCAACGGTGGTTCTGCCCAGTGGACAGGAGGGCTGGACACAACGATAACAGTGACCACAATGACAACGGCCAGGGCCTTGCAGGTGCCGCACCTGGATGAGCGAGGCCGCCGCCGGGATCTGCCGGTTGAAGTGCTTCTGCCTCTGCTTCTGCTGCACCTTCAGGGCAAACCCCGAGCCGAGGATCCCCTGAGAAGGAATGGCAGGAGGCTCCCGTCCGAACTGGCTGCTGCCAGCTGGGTGCAGCCTCAAGGCATGGTTGCCAGCCACCGTTGTGGGAAGGCTAGGCATGGTCTGTGCTAGAAGCCCCCCCAGGTCCCACCTTTGGCCCAGGCTGCCTGTCCTGGGCCGGCATGGGGGGCAGAATTCACACCCCAGGGCTTACCCAGCAAGGGGACCAGTCCCATGGGTGGGGGGCTGGAGCTTTTCACTCATTCCCAGGGACCGTTCTGGGGGCCAGGTGGGCTGATCCATCTGTATGTACCCAGGAAGGGGTCATACCACTGGGCTGAGGCCAGGAGTCAGAAGGCAGCCCTCAGCTGAGGAGGCCCACTGCCACCCCCAAGGACGGCTGATGGGGTGCAAACGACTCGACCAGCAGCTAGGGAGCTGTCCATGGAGGGGCCATGTGGTGCACATGCATATGTGTGCCACACGCTGTGCGCATGCATGTGACGCATGCACACACAATAGATATGTCTACATGCTGTGTGCATCTACACGGATGTATAGTACGTAGATGTATACTATACATACTTGTGACACATGTGTACATAAACACATATGTAAACATGCTGATATACATGTATAATGCACATATGTGCACACACAACATAACACACTAAATACAACATATACACATACAATACACACAGAGTATGCACGGCACATATAACATATAGTACGGACATACCCTGTGATACATAAACAGACACCCATAGTATACAGGCACTATGACACCCATACACACACATGACATACACATACATCCACACGCAGGCAGAGCATACTAGACACATCACCTCACAGTCTGTGGTTTCTGGAAAGGACATGGAACAAAGCCCCCGCCAGCCACAGCGTGGAGGCTCCCTCTCTGGGCACAAGTTCTGCCTCCATGGGATGTGGCAGCCGCACTGCCCACCCCACAGGCTGAGGGAGCAGGCCTGCCCTGCACTGCCTCCATGCACAGCCATGCCAGGCTGCTCCCACACTGCCTGCAAGGACCCCAGCGGGGACTGGAAACGGGAAGGCTGCATCCAGGGCCCAGGGAGGGCAGGTGGGGCTCTGGAGTGCAGCACCTTCTGGAAGGGAAGCACTGTCTTGGTTTTGAATGTAAGCGGGTCTGCTCACAGGAAGGAGCGTGTGGTTGCCCCAGGGCCCCAGCTGTCCGAGGAGCCAGGGAGAATGCTCCCATGGAGCACCTACCGCTGGGAGGGCAAAGAAGGAGATGGCAAAGACGGAGAAGCAGGAGGCGATGGTCTTCCCGACCCAGGTCTGGGGCACCTTGTCCCCGTAGCCGATGGTGGTGACCGTGACCTGCAGGAAGAGGGACAGCGGTCAGCCACAGATGGGCCTGGAGTCGCAGGAGGACCACGTGCCCAGCCCACACCCACCACTCTAATGAGCAGAAGGCTGATGAGAGACTCTGACCCCTGGGACGACCCTGTGTGACTCAGCCAAAGGACCAGGAACGGAGCCATGGGATGGCGCGTGTCTCTCAGGCTCTTGGTGCCATACACACGTCCCACCAGCACGTGTGAGGCACCCAGCACCCACAAAGGCCAGGCCTGCTGGCTGGGAACGTGCGCCTGGGAGCCCACCCACACCTGCTGCCTTGTCTGCCTGCCCGTCCCTGGGAGGCTAGGCCTCGGGGCCACCGACGTTGCTGTGTGCCGGCCCCCAGGAGGCCAGGAGCTCCTACGGAGGCTGGTCGTCAACAAAGAGCAGAGGCTGGGATGACGTGCTGCTTCCTGACGCCACTCCAGGGCACCAGATGTTTTATTTTCCTGTTTTCTGAGAGTACAAGACGCAGCTCAAGCCTTCTTCTTGGTGGGAGAGCCATCCGACCAGGCTGTGTGGTGGGACAATAGGAGGCTCCCCAGCCCCCCACCCCCCGCCCTGCCTCCCACTGGCATCTGAGGTTTGCTTCTTGGGGCTTCCATCCTGAGTCTGGAAATGTCACCCTGCAGGACTTAGGAGCCCACCCGGCTGGGCCCGGCCTGTGCGGGCTGCCTGCTGGGTTCTTCAGCAGCTGGCGCTGAGCCCGGCAAGGAGACCCAGGGTGCCCCTGAGGCATAGCTCACTCTGTGACACACATGCTCATGCCCAGGCACACCTGGACAGCAGGCATGGTGGCCCAGACTAAGGCTGTGGCTGCGGGAGGTCTTTGCAGCCCTGCTCAGGGCACCACACTCAGGACAGCCCAGCATTTACCCGCTTGGGGCTTCTGGTCAAGGCCAAGTGACAGCCATGGCTTGCAGGCCCAGGCACCCCCCAGCTGCCAACCACATGGAGACCTCCAATGGATTCCCAGTCCTATGGGCCCAGCACTGATGGCAGTAGGGCCCACGGCCTGTTTAACAGACTCCAAGGGAAGGCAAGAACAATCCCCAGCCCACCTGAGCCCTCGTGAGACAGGGGTCCCTGGACCACCCCGTGCTTTCCACCAGCCACTGAGGCAGAGGGAGGGTGGGGAGAAGCCCCATGGCCACTGCCACGCAGGGGTGCAGGGGCGTACACGCGGACAGAGACACGGGCACATGTGACTAGCCAGAACTGCCGGAGCAGGAAGCTCGGAGCCTGGGGCAGCAGAAACGCCACGTTTCGGGAAACCAGGCTGCACCGGCGAGCACAGTAACGAACACTGACAAACCGCCAGGCACCGCCGCCAGGCCACAGGGCAGGCCATGCCTCTGCTGAGCCCCGGCCACCACCCAGGCCCCTGCCCCTCTAGTGCCCTGACCTCATGTTCGCTTACGGTCAGGACGCGTCTGCAGAAGCTGTTCTCAGGCCACCTCCTGCCACTGCGCCCAGAGCTCTCCCTGCAGTGCCACTGTCCTTAAGACACACACATCCTCCCTGCTCCCCCAGCCATACACGCAGCACGCACAGGAAGCTACTTACGGCCAGACCCCTTCAGTGGACCACCCGGCTCTGTGTACGTGGGCACACACACACAAACATGTCTCACACAGAGATGGGGTGCTCCACGTGTGCACACTGAAACATATGATGACCTGGTGTGCAAAGGCCACAAGACAGTACCCGCACATGCGTCACATACATGACAAGGTCGTGTAAAAAGGGAGCTGGTCCCCATGTTCCAGCCTGACACTCAGGGCACACTCAGGTGCAGACATTTGAACACAGAGCACAGGGTGAAACCAGGTCACGGCCGAGGCTGACAGTGGCTGGCGGAGAAGGGAACCTTGGGGGAGCCAGAGCCCCTCGTCTCTAGGGCACCCTCCCCAGAGGGCCTGTACTCCCATGCATAGGCTGGCCCGCTGCTACCTTCCCCAGAGGGCCCAGGTGCCCTGGGGTGGGGAGTGGCAGAGGCAGACACAGGGCTGCAAAGTAGGTGGGGCACTGGAGACCCTGTGCCAGTCCTGCCCTAGGGAGTGACTCCCACCTGGCCATCTCTCAGCCCAGCGGGGCCCAGGGCCCAGGGGCCCAGCACATCCACTATTTACCAAGGCTACAGCAAGTCTGGGAAAGCACACACAGTGGCTCAGAAACGGGCCTAGAAGGGCCTGGGCAGAGCAGGACCCTGGCCTATGCTGGCCTTAAGCTCAGAGGGCCCCTCCAGCCTGGACAATGAAGCAAGAGGGCTCCGAAGTCTGACCCAAACTTTTCAGGGGGACACTCACCCCTTCAGTATGATCATGCTGGCATCCTACATGTTCATCCAGCAGCCTCCTACTCATCCCTCAAACCTGTGCCCAGGCCCACACAGCCCCTGCTGATGCCCCGAGGCAGGCTCACCCCTCCACTCCTGGCTCTGCCTCCGCTTTGCAGAAGCACCCCTCTCAGCACTGTCTGCCTGGCTGGCATGCACAGGACCAAGTCTCACCCTGTCTGGGCATCCTCCTAGCACTAGGTCCAGGAGGACAAGGCTGGGGTGGTGGGGTATGGCAAAGCAGTGCCCAAGGTGGGGTCAGGTACGAGAGCAGGGTTGAAGTGCCCAGGACAGGGCTGAGTCTGTGTTCCCCGGGCAAATGTGCACGGATGATCTGCTGGGGCCAGGCTCAGGGGTGGCAGCCCTCGCCATGGTTGGGGGGCACTCCCGTGCCTACCCAAGCGTAAGCAGTGGGACGTGCTCTTGACCGACACACCCGGGGCAGGCGTGGGGATCCCCATCCTCCAGGAGCTAGGCTTTCTGGAGATTTGCAGAAATGCATATTTTTATTTCAATAATATTTGTTTTGGAAAATATAGAAATTTATCATAAAATTATTTATGAAAACATAATGGGTCTATTATTTTAACAAATTAATATGGAATTGTTTTTACATGGTTCCACTGTGTTAACTATTGACGGCACAGTGCCCAGCCACGAGGCTTCTCTGTCAGGGATGCCAAGGGGCTGTGAGGCCATGAGGTCCAGGCACAGCTGCCTCCTGAGAAGGTCGGGGACAAACCCAAGACAGGCTGAGAGGCAGGAATCCACCTGAGGGGAACCAGGCGGCTGGGGGAGGCCAGTGACGCACTTGTGCCTTGGGTGCTAAGTGTAAGGAGCACCAGCAAACCCAGGCACCAAGAAAAATGGCACGGACTGGTGTATTCAGCGTCGCTTTAATAACAACACTAAATTATTTTAAAATGTTTTAAAATCATGACTTTTTAAAAGAAAATGCCGTATTTTGATTTATTTAAAAATCTAATACGGAAACTCCATGATGAAGGTGGAATGGGAGGGGGCTGGCCATGGAGTTGGGGTCAGGTGAGCAGGTGAGGTGGCTACTGCTCAGGTAAGACTGACTCACAAACCTGGCCCGAAACAGATGACAGCCGCTGAGGGTGGGGGTGTCACTTCCTGGGGCTGAGCTGGGTGCATGAGGGCTCCTGCTGGCTGGTTGGCTGGGTGGTCAGTAGAAGGCAGGGGTGCCCCAGACGGGAGAGAAAGGCCAGCCCCAGAAGTGCCCTGGGAGCCTGCCCACCGTAGAGAGCACACACGCAGCAGGACACAGCTCCAGGACCCTGCCTGCCTTTGCCTGGTCTGCCCATCCGCCAGACCCGGCCCCAGACCCTCCTCCTCAAGTCAAGGAGGAAATGGCCCCTCCCTGCAGAGCGGCTTGTTTTTCCTGTACTGAGACACAAGCAGCTCAGGAATGGGCTGTTTTATGGCCGCCATGCTGGGGACAGTCCCTGATGGCCCGCCACCTGGAATGCAGACCCACATGCCTGTCTCCTGAGCCGCCACAGCTCCTTGACAGGGCGCCGGCCCCACGAGGGACACCAAGTCATGCCCGTGGCAGGAATGGTGGGGGTGAGTGGGGTGCCCATACCCCACTGGTCAGAGCATTTCCCCCACCCCCCTGCCCAGGGGCCTGCCTGCGTTTTCACTCCCGTGTGAAGGGGTGGGAGGCGCTGGGGAGCCTTCTATCCCCCCACGTTCCACCCTGAGAAGCTGGCACTGGGATCCTATTTTCTCCTTTCGGAAGCATCTCCTCAAGGCTGGCCTCCAGGGGAGGACGGAGGCCAGCCCAGAAACCTTAGTTCCAGCTGCATGCCAAGCTCTGGGACCCAGAGCTCACTGGCCCAGCTGGAGACACAGTGGTCATTTGTCCAGAGGGAAGGGGTGGCCCCACATGGTGGTTGTCTGTCCAGAGGAAGGGTGGCCAAGAGTGGGAGCAAGGGTAGCCCAGAGGTGTCACAACCCAGCTGGTACCCTCAGGTCAAGACTACGGAGAAGGAAACTGAGGCTGGGCAGTCACTGTGCTGAGGGATCCGCATTAGAAACTGGCCAGGCAGATAGCTGGACCAAGGCCTGCAGGACCCATGTTCCCTGCTGTGCCCACCCCCAAAGGCAGGGGGCAAACCCGAGACGGGCCAAGAGGCTGCTTCCGGCCTCGAGGGCCCAGCCTGCCCGTGAAGAGGCACCCAAGGATACAGGTGGGAGAGTGCGGCACCCAGGCTCAGCCCCACAGCTCCAGGGCCTCTCTCTAGGGCCTGGCAGGAAGCCTACACAGGATCTCCCAGAGCTGCGCCCTCAGCCTCAGTTCCAAACACACAGTAGGCTGAACACACAGAGGTCCAGGCGGGTGTCCCCTCTCATGGCACGATGCCTGTCTCAGTGCTTCCAGGGGGTGTGGGACAATGCCCCATGTGTGAGGGCCCTGGGCCCTACCCGGCACCCTCACCTTGCCTGGCAGTCCTGTGGTTGCCCTGCTGGCAAGGCTGGGCTGGCACTGTAGCTCTGAGTGTGGGGGACAGTTCTCTCCCTGTCCAGCTAGTCTAAGGCAAAGCCCCAGCCTGTTCTCTGCCTCAGTTTCCCCCTCTCAGGAAGGTGCACGATCACAGAACACTTCTCATGGGCT